CACCTCCTCCCAATATACTTGGAAGAGCTGCCTGCCTCCTCTCCCTTCCCTCCTCTCATCTCAATGGACTCGGATCTACTTTCACCCCCTTGCTGCACTGCAACAACTTGATTCAAGGTCACAGTGATCTCCATCTTTCCAAAGCCCCTGCTGCAGACCCTGCTTTCCTGTCTCAATCCTTTTTATACAAGCTTCTCTGATGCCACCTTAATCCACCGTCATCCCAGCCAGTCCCCCTCCATCCCCCTTGCCAAGAGGTAGATGTGGGAGCACCTCGCGGCTCTGGCTTGGGCCCCTTCCCTTTTCCGTCTCACCCTATTTCCATGTGACCTCACCCATGATTTTGAATACCTCTGTCTCCAGCCCTGACTTCCTCTCTGAGCTCCGAACTTAACTATCCAACTGTCTCCTCCACATAATGGGCGTCTCCATATGGCAAAGCAGAATTTTCATTTTACACTCCCACAAAGAACGTGTTCTACCACATCTTTACACTCCACAGAAGGGATAATAAATTTGCTCCGTCCAAAAGCCAGTGAATTGTTCTTTTTTTTTTTTTTTCCAGTGAGACCAAATATAACAGTCTTTATTTTTTTCCTTTTTTTTTTTTTTTTAAGAAGAGAGAACCTGACTAGCTTAATTGGGAGAGCATGCAACTCTTGATCTTGGAGTCATAAGTTCAAGCCCCATGTTGGGTGTAGAGATTACTCAAAAACAAAACCTTTAAAAAATAACAGAAAGAAAGAGAGAAAGAAAGAAAGAAAGAAAGAAAGAGAAAGAGAGAAAGAAAAAGAAGGAAGGAAGAGGAAGAAGGAAGAAGGGGACGGGGGGAAGGGAGGAAAGGAGGGCCCGCCTCACAGCTAAATGCAATCTTTCTCCCCTGACCCCTAGCAGTGAGATACCCCCCCCATCCCCACCCAGGGCTCCTGTGGTCTTCCCCTAGGACCCTGTGGTGCCTCGTTCACATGAATGGCTCCTGACCCCCACACACAACCACTTCTGCCTCCCAGTCTACGTGGCACCAGCCTCGTCAATTTGTCCCCTGGCAGACACAGCCTTCTTTGATCCCCATAGGCACTCCTCTCCACTCCCCAAAAGACCTGTCCCCCATCAGAGGAAGGCCCTCTCCCCACGGTCATGGTAGACCACATTGCAGGGATGGTGGGAGATAGCTGAGCCGAGCTGGGCAAGCTGAGACTCAAAGCCCCCATCTGGCTGCAGTGACAGATCCTGGCTGAAATCTACACCAGGCAGAGGGCCAAGGTGAAGAGGCATGGCTGGCTCAGGTGGAAGACGGTGTTTCCAAAACAATTTGGGATGCAAGGAGGATGATAAACACTGGGCCTGGTGAAATGCCTCTCCTGGGCTCGAGCCCCACCCACAAGGTCCACAAGGCTGACTGTGGCCAAGGACATCAATGCCCAGGTACCGTCACAGAGAAGTGAGCCAGCTGTGTCACACAGGTGCCTGGGACAGGGTGGTAAATGCAGGCAAGTAAGGTGGGGTAACCAGTGGGCAGGGCAGGTGTGTGTGACATGCAGGTCCACCTGCACAGCAGATGTGGAGAGGGTGTGCACTGGTGTGGGACAACGGGAATGACAGGTGAGTGGTTGGGCACAGACAGGTCAGGATGTGACAGGCAAACACTGACACCACTACTGGGCACTTCCTTGCCAAGTACCAGATGTTTTAGGGCCACCGTCCCTCTGGCCCGGGGGGGGGGGGGCAGGGGGTGGAGGGGCCTGAGGTCCTTGGAGAAGGAGAGCCTCCAAGGCTCTCCTTTGTAGGACAGGAAAAGGTCAACCTGTGACACACACACCCAGGCTCAGGGAGGGGACCCCGGCAGTGTTCTCCGGGCCAGAGAAAAAAGAAAGGGAGAAGGCACCCTCCACTCCAGTTGTGTCCTTCTTGGGTTCTCCAGGTTCCCCAGGACCCAAACACACCCTGGGCTCTCCAAGATCCAGGCACCTGATGTCTACTGCCTCAGAATGGTCCTGCCAGCCCAGGAGATGCGGCCACGCAGAACTCCTCCCAGGATGGCTCTGTAGGGGCCTCCCCACCTCTATCAGGCATTACGGCCCCTCCCTTCTGAGCCCCCCACCCAGGCCCACTCCAAGCAGTCACCCAGTCCCCAGAGCATGCACCCCTCTCCCAGCCAGGGCCTACCACACCCACTCAGGGGGGCACAGAGACCCGATGCCCACACACAACACACAGGGCCAGCTCCTCCAGAGCAGCACTGGGTGAAAGGTCACCAGCAAACCTGTGTGCCTCCCCCAATCCCAGACAAGTCCTCAGATCCCAACCCACAGCCCTCCTGGAGCCCCCGCAGACTGAGACTACTCCCATCCCCCACAACTGCTGCAGCCCTCGCCCCTCCCAGGGAGCATCTGCCACCTGGAAGCAAGATGGCGATTAAGGTGGGAGAAGCCGGTGGTGAGCATAGCCCCACCCATCCCTGCATCACCCCGTTAGCGCCACAGGCTGGCCCCTGTCCCCAAGCCATTCCTTGGGCCATGTTGCTCTCCGGAGTTCTGCTTTTGTGAGTTTCCATGCCCAACCCCTCCCAGGTCCCATAAACACTGCCCCAACTGTCCACCCCTTCCAGACCCTCCAGAGCAAGCCCGCAGAAGTCACTCAAGTTCACCTGCAGCTCAGCATGCTCTCATCTTTGTTTCCTGACCAGGGATTAGAAGTACTGACTGGGAGGAGTCAGCACCATCCCCTTCCTCCTAGGACCGTGAAAGCACCCCATGCCCATGACCCACTCCCAGAACCCTCCAAGGGCCCACCTTCCAGACACTCACTCTCTCCCTCTCTCTCTCTCTCTCTCTCTCTCTCTCTCTCTCTCTCTCACACACACACACACAGAGCAGTGGACCTGGTACTCAAAGGCATGGGTACTGAACCGAGGCCCTAGCACAAAGGCACAGGTGGGAATGAGCTACCTGGGACACACCTGCACACATGTTATGTGCAGTGTGTATAGTATTCGTGTAAACCCTATTCTTGGACATTTATCTCCCACCTGTGGCTCCTTCATTGGGCAACTAAGGCGGAATTTGGGACTTGCAAACCAACGGGGTTGTGGGGTCCTGAGTTGAGACCCTAAAGGCCAGGGCAGGGTCTGGCTTGGGCACTGTGGAGACAAAAGTGAACAATGCAGACAGATTCTAGCCTAGAGAGCTCACCAATCTAGGGAGGAGACAAACCTGAATACGATACATAAAAGTACAGCTGTGATCAAAGGCATAGTTAGTGTCACTAGGTGCCAATATCAAGGGAGATATCCTAGCGGCAGGTGCGTTTGGCCCCCAGGGTTGGAGGGTCATGGGCAATCTACCGGGCTCAAAGTCTGGCTCTCACACTGCTTCTTCAGTCTCAACAACCATCAGATCAGTGTAACTCCTGAAAATGGACTGGAAGATGCTGCTTTTGGAAAATGAGCTGGCAGAGCAGGGCCCCCAAATTCTATGTGTTCAGTGAAGTGTAATAACTGGAAGCCTGATGTATTCCTGTGGCTGAGATCTGAAGGATTTAACAAGGAAGTAAAGCACTGAGAAGGGAGTGGATCCAGGCAAAGGAAGTGCATGTGCAAAGGCCCTGTGGTAAGAGGGATAGTGGCGGTTACCAGTCCTGACAGAGGCAATACAGAACCCTGAAGCCCAAAGAAAAAGGGCAAAGTGTGGCCAGAGATGAGGCCACTGCCCCCCAGGGTCATGAGACAAAGTACGACACATGAACTCGAAGTGAGGCTCCACACTGTGATGACTCAATCCAGATGGATAAGGGAAGTATGGTAACCAGGCTGGAGCAGGTGTGGAAAGCAATGGTGACCTCCCTGGCTGGAAGCTCAGGAGCCACCTCCACAGCACAAAGGAAGAGAAAAGATAAGAGCTGAGTTTGCAAAAAGGAGAAACCAACGGCAAAGCAGCTTTGACATCAGAAGCAATGAGAAGAAAGCTTTGTAAAACTGGCTAGAAAGCAAAGCAGCCCAGCTCAAGAGAAAGAGAAAGCCAGAAACAGCCTCTCATTCCTGAAATGCCATCTCTCTTGTCCCGTTGGGATCACCTCCTCCAAGAAGCCACCCTTATCCTGTTGAAGTCCCCTTCTCAGAAAACACACACTTCCCCCATCTCAGACAACTTCTGCATTTAAATAAACAGTTAACAAACACTAAACTTCCCATGTACTTGCTTCCTCAGCCCACCAGGGGGCCTCCCAGCGCCAGGCCTCAGCCCAGCTGGTCCCTAATGGCAGCCACTTCCTCTCCTGTGAATCCCAAGAGGCAATCCGGGCAACCTTCTGCTTCCTACACAGTTTCCCCTGCTGATGATCCTACAAGCAAAAAGACCCACATCTAAGAGGAGGGAAGGCAGGGCAAGAACAGTTGCCAAGAGGAAGTGGTTCAGGCACAAATGGACTTAAATTGGAATATTCCATTGATAGGGCGCCTGGGTGGCTCGGCTGGATAAGAGTCAGACTCTTGATTTCAGCTCATGTCATGATCTCACCGCTCGTGGGATCAAAGCCCCGCATCAGGCTGTGTGGGAACAGACCAGAGCCTGCTTGGGATTCTCACTCTCTCTCTCTTCCTCTCCCCCGCTCACACTCTCTCTCTCAAAATAAATAAACATTAAAAAATATCCCATTGATGGCTTATCATGATTAGGGGTCTCTTGCCGCAGAAACCACCCACAGTTGCAAATCCAACATAAGCCATCACTGAGAAGTCCTAGCTTCCCAATGCTAGCGTGTCAGAAAGAAAATTAATCTACATTCCCCCAAACCACATTAGGTCACTGTTCTTCAAACGCTGACACAACAAAACCCCACATTATTCCAAAGTCTGAAAAGCAAACACATATTTTGAAATTTTAGAGGGATTTACACAAAAATAGTGAAAACTACAACGTTTTTCCCACCTGGAAACTAGCTAAATGATCTCCAAATTGGACATCTGTTTTTTGTAGTTTTTCTAAGAAATAACAACCGTGGGCCAAGTTTTTAGAAGAAAACTATATTCTTTTAAAGAAAATGAAAATATTCTCAAAGGAAAAACTTAATTTAAGTCAAATCATACGCTTTTGTCGTGGAGCCCGATACAGAGTGCTTTCCTGCAACAGGTGTTCTCCCTGCCACGGGGACAGGGCGCCCTCTCGTGGTCTCTCTCGACCGAGCCCTGTGGCTGGAAATTTTGCGTGAGAAGGTTCTTTTTCCCAAGGCTGAAGGATGGCGAGGGGAGGGGGGCCGAGGGGGAAGCGGACCCCAAGCCAGGAGGGAGGGATGGGGAGACCCGGGCGGGATTGTGGCTGAAAACACCCTTCAGAATCCCGGTGGCCAAAGGCAGGGCTCCTTCGAGGGCCCCACTCCACAAAGGTGTCATTCGTCTCCCCTCTCCTGTGACCCCGCCCAAAAAGGACACCCTTCCCACCCACCAAAGGCGCTTATGAGACACACAAACACGCGTGCCCTCCGTCAACCGCCACCTGCCAGACCACCCCTGGCCCCGAGGAGCGATCTCAGGCGGGGCCCCTTTTGAACAAGGAAACACTCCCGCCCCCAGGCCAGTGCGAGGAGGAGGAAGAAGGCGGCCCGCGCCCCTGCTCGCGAAGGCGAAGGCGGCGGCGTCCTCAGCTGGTGCCCCACGGCGGTCTGGGAGCCCGCCCGGGGCCGCGGCGCGCAGCAGCCCCGGGAACGCAAGGCCGGCGTGGGGGGTGGGGGGCGGGCGAGGGGGTAGGGGCTGGAAGGAAGGGAGCGGCCGGAGGAGGCACAGACGGTGAATAAATAGAAGCAGCTACGCCGCGGGGCCGGCCCCTCGGACAGCAGCTTGGTGGCACGTGGGTGGGGGTGAGGCGGAAGCGCGGCAGCGGCGCCCCCCGTGGGACACAGAGCTCCGACGCCGACCGGGTCACCCGTCCCGCCCCGGGGCGCTCTCTGTCGCACGCACGCACGCACGCGGGTCCACAGCGTGGGCTCCTTTCCCGGCTCAGAGCTCCGTGACGTGCACCGCAGGTGAGGGGAGGGGCCCGGGCCTGAGGCGCCGCAGGTGGCAGCGGCGGCACAGCAGGTGGCCGTCCAGGGGGTAGCAGCGGCGTCCATCCTCCCCACTCAGCTGCAGCCCGCAGTCCTAGGGAAGAACACAGCCCCAACCC